CCTGAATATTCATTGGAAGGACTGATGCTGAAGCTGAAACCACAATACTTTGACCACCTGATATGAAGAACTGACTCACTGGAAAAGACCCTGATGCTGGGAAAGATTGAAGGCGGGAAGAGAAGGGGATGACAGAGGATGAGATGGTTGGATGGCATCACCAATGGACATGAGTTTGAGTAAACTCCAGGAGTTGGTGATGGACAGGGAAGACTGGCATGCTGCAGTCCATGGGGTCACAAAGAGTCTGACACTACTGAGCGACTGAACTGAACTGATATGCTACTTAACTCAAAATAGCATATATACTTTTAGAAATTATGAGATTACTGTATACTAAGGAATTTATGGGCTTCCCTCATAGCTCAGTTGGTAAAGAATCTGCCTGCAATGCAGGAGACCTGTGTTTGATCCCTGGGATGGGAAGATCCCCTAGAGAAGGAAATGGCAACTCACTCCAGTATTCTTGCCTGGAGAACTTCTGGTGGCCTATAGTCCATGAGGTCACAAGAGTCAGACAGGACTTAATGACTAAACCACCACCACCAGAGGACTTTATAAAAAATGTAGTCCAAACCTATCTTCAGACTCGTATCACATAGTATGTTTATTCTTATTTCAGTTAATTGAGGTACAACTTACCAGCACCCAGATAAAAAATGGAACACTTCTGGTACTTTGATGATTTCCTTGTGCCCCATCCTAGTCTATACTCCTCCCAAGACACTATTTCGATCACTCATTTTGATCACTTTATTTTTAATTTTTTATATTTTGGACACACTGCACAGCTTGTGGGTTCTTAGTTCCCTGACCAGGGATGGAACCACGTCCCCTGCATTGGAAGGCAAAGTGTAAATCACTGGACAGCGAGAGAAGTCCCACCACTTCAGGGTGGTTGGCTGTATGCTTAAGCATCATATAAATGCAGTGATATAGAATTTATTCTTTTGTATCCATTTTTCCTGTTAATCATCATGTCCATGAGAAGCTCCCATATTGTTATACACAGCAGTCAACCACTAATTCTTTTCCATTGATGACATTGCGTGGATTTACTGAAAATTGTTCATCCATTCTAAAATTGATACACATTTGGATTGTTTCCAGCTGTAGATTATTAGGAACAAAGCTGCTCTGAATATTCACATATGTCTTTTTGTTAATATAAGCACTTATTTTGTTGGGTATATCTCTCTTAATGGCCTTTCAATTAAGGGGATTTTGTACAACATGTATCCAAAAATAGAAGTTAGGCTAATTAAATTATAATATATTCATACAAGATAATATGCTGCAGCCATTAAAAGTTTTCTTATAGACAATTTTCAATGGCCATAAGCAATATGGTTTAAGTCATGTCCCTAAACTATGTAAAAATATCTAAACAGGTATGCAGGCTATGTATATTTGTATGTGCATATATGTGTATATGTTTAGTGTGTGTACATGTATGTGTAAACAAAAAAACACTATACCAGAAAGCTAATGGTGATCATCTGTAGGTGACAGAAATATGCATAATTTCAATTTTCCTTTTTTAATAATTTTCCATATTTCCAGCAGTGAAAATATATTTTTATAATGACAAAAAAGCTTAATAAAAGAAATAATAACATAAATCTACTCATTAGTAAAGTCTTGTACTACAAACCACATTTCCACAGTGCTTCTTTTCATGTACTACATTTACTTAATCTACATGATACGTAAAATCTTCCCTCTTACCATACCAGCTAATGAGTCAGGATTGATGTGGTCAGGCCAAGCAGACATCCTCCTCTGTGGCTCTCGCTAGACTATCCTGTGAGTCCAGGTTCTCATTATTATAGTTGTATAATAACCAGGAAAAATAACCATCCTAACACGAGGAGAGAAGGAGGAGCAAGAAGAAAGCCAGCACCTGAGGCCTTAATTGAGATCACAGATTACTAGATGAATCTCCATAAACACAGTCATTAAAAGTACCTAGAAAATGTTAGCACGATATAACTGCATGTTACGTTGCAGAAGCAAACCCTTTTATAATGACATAAAGGTTTGCTATATTTTGAAATATAATCTAATATTTCTTATTATTATCCAGGTTAGAATAAATGTTTTTATTTTAACTGCTATCTCCTGTCACTGTTGTCACACAAAGCTGGTGTTTAATTCTGCCTCATCTTCATAATTTCAGTCTATTTGTTGCTGTTTAGTCGTTAAGTCAAGTCTAACTCTTCTGCGACCCCATGGACCATAGCCTGCCAGGCTCCTCTGTCCCTGGGATTCTCCAGGCAAGAACACTGGAGTGGGTTTCCATGCCCTCCTCCAGGGGATCTTCCCCAACCAGGGATCGAACCCGAATCTCCTGCATTGCAGGTGGATTCTTTATCATTGAGGCATGGGGGAAGCCCAGTGAAGTCTATATTCTCCTATAATTTGCCACTAATGTTTATCTGAAAAGCTCAATCATAGTCAAAATCAGCTTAGGAAGGGTCTGAGAAACAGGAAGATTCTGCAGAGTATTTCCTTATAGAATTTATCTAGTCCAGGGGTCAGTCCAGGGGCATGGTCCACGGGCCACCGCCAGCCCACACTGTCTCCTTTTGTACCATCTCAGATCAGAATGGTTTTCACATTTTTAAGCAGTTACATTTTAAATGATTATAAAAGTACATGCATAATGTACTTAATTTTTCTTCTTGCCTCACAAAGGCGAAAATATTTATTATCCAGCCCTCTAAGTAAAAATGTTAACCCTTGCTCTATCCAGCCCACCCATGACACTACAAATTTTCATTCACATACTGGTATTTTAGCAGAGATAATTCTATATGGAAATAGTACCATGCCTTGGACATAGCCATTTTATATTCCTCCTAGACATACAAGAATTCCCCATTTCCCAGCTCTCCTTGCAGCTGGGTAGAGCCACAAGACAGAGTCTCAGCCAATGGTACGTCTGGCAGTCTTCCCTTTCTCTTTTCCCTTGTATGCTGGATAAGGTACTGGGCCCTTAAATCAAATGAAGGCTGCCCTCTGAATGCCAAGGTATTCAGAATATCGCAGTACAAGCAAGAAAATAAATTTTTCTTGTGTTAAGTCTTTGAGTTTGGGGGGAAGTGTTTCTTACAACAGCTAAAGTTACTTTCCCTGGCTGGTATATGTAGATTTTTTTTTTTTTTAGTATCACTGGGCCTGATATCACCATGGCATATATTTACTCACAACACACACATAAAAACGTGAGAACGGTTTATGCTTCGATCTTTATGAGTATCCAAAACAAACAAGATGATTTGGCTTTCATTTCCCCAACAAATAAAAGCTTCATTCTCAAACGCTAGTTTTTGTTGCCATGGATAAAACTGAACTACAATTTGAGAACCAAGTTAGACACCAGGTAAATAAAGGAAAATCTCAATCTTGTAAAATAACAACTGTCCCAAATTTGAGCTCCAAAAACGTGTAAACAGTTCTTTCATGCTTATACCTCCACAAGGCCGCTTCACGTCCAGCTTTCATCATCCTGTTTACCAAGTGAGAATTTTCAGATTTCAGTTTAGACACATCTGGTTCACAAATGAGCCACGACACCCCCAATCATTGTGAAATCCTCACCACAAGCATTGGTGATGAGATCTTGTGTTTATTAGTAAAGATGTGAGAACCGGTCTGTTGTGAAGCTATTTTGAGTGGAGACGTCTCTGATGTGGCATCTTAGAGGTGTCAGTTTGGTCTTTCTTTGTTGAAGAATGATTGTCATTAAATTCACTTCTAACTGCAAATTCATCAGTTTTAGCTTTCTTTTAGATATAACCTCACCTGGAACAGTCAGAAAAAAATAATTCAGCTACTCTTTAATTGTTAAAAAAGAGTTGACATGACCAATCTGTTGGTGTTTTCTTCCTGTCTTTTAAACTTCCCTAGGTATTTTTAGATTCCTTGCAATTTTTTCAATGCATCATAAAACTAAGTCATTTACTATTTTGAGATCACTGAAGTCAAGGGTGATTAACAGCAAATTAATTTCTCTTTTGTCTCATACCAAATCTGGCTTACTAACAAAGAGAGGAGAGAGAGATTGAGGCTAAACTACTCAGAATGAACTGATAATGACTTTTGATTAGAGTAAACAAAAAAAAATAACTGACTCACAGCCTGTGCTGTATGCCTGCAACCAACACAACATTGTAAATCAACTATATTTCAATGGGAAAAAATCAAATCTGAAAATAAATTAATTCATTAATTTAAAAATCAAGCCTGTACCCCTCTCTATTGCTGATCCTGCTCACAGGGCCAATTGTCTTGTTTTTCACAGCATCAGCACTGTTGGTTGAGCCCAGGGTAGGCAAGGTGTGAGCATGCACAGTGCTATAGATGAGCTCAGCTGTTACATAGTTATAATTTACAGAACTGTGGGGTGAGAGAGCCTGAACACACTCTCTGGGCTAATTTGCTCTCTCCCTATACCCTCCTCCCCAAAAAACCCCAGTCAACGTTACTACATGAAGAGGTTCTTATTTCATGCAGTTTCCAAATAAGCGTCTTTACATTCCACAGAATTTTCAAGATGCTTGACTGTGACTGTCAAAGAACATATTTTGACTAAATAAATATATAAACAACTTATTCATAAAAGAAAGTCACCCCCTAACATGGTCGCACCCCACTGCCCTGAGGGGCCTGGACAAAGTTAACAAAGAATTTAGGACAAAGTAGAGTAGGTTCCCGGGAAATTCGATGGACTCACTTTGCACACACCAGCATATTCTCAGTCAAGAACTCTTCCCACTTCATCAAGACCTCTGCATCTGGAGAGAGATTCCCCAACAACGGGGCCATCCGGAGTGTGGGCCCCGTGATGCGACATACACTTGAGAACATGGCGCCATCCGTATTCCTGCCCAAAGAGCATAGTCTGACATTAATCCTGGAGAAACAAACATGCTAGTGTGAACTGAAAGTCACTCTGCAAAATCACCTGACCTAGACTTTTCAAATTGTTAATAAGACAAAAGACCAAAAGGAAAAGGCCGGTGGGGGGAGAGGTGGCAATTGTTGAAGACAGAAATAATGAGGCGGGACCATGATAACTACATGCAGTGGGGAACGCTGGCCTGAGTCCTGAGTAGAAGGAAGACAGCTAGAAGGGGACTGTGCCGCTATGTCACGCTCGGTCGCCACAGTCGTGTCTGACTCTGCAACCCCAGGGACTGTCACCGGTCAGCCCCTCTGTCCCTGGGATTCTCCAGGCAAGAACACCGGAGTGGGTTGCTGTGCCCTTCTCCAGGGGATCTTCCAGACCCAGAAATCGAACCCGTATCTCTGGCCTCTCCTGCGTGGCAGGCAGGTTCTTTACCCACTGAGCCACTTGGGAAGCCCCAAAGGGTATTGTTGGAGCAATTAGAAAATTTTGAATGTGAATGTAAATTAGATACAATTGTATCAATAGTAAATGTCCTGAGCCTAATTCTATTGTGATGATGTAGGAGAATCTCTGTCTTCTTAGGAGCTATACACTGAAATATTTGAGGTAAAGGGTTGCATTGAGCACTTTTTCTGACAAATCCCCACAGAAGAGCAGCTATGTATTTAGCTTATTTTTCTGTGTAGACTCAGCTCCCCTGGAAGTTCCTGTGAGCTCTGCTGGGGTCCCCTATGTGTCTGTGATCAGCAGCCAACTGGTTGGGCAGCTTTGCTTCTGGGGTGAGTCTGGGGGTTGACTGCAGTGACTAGGACCCTGTCTCTGTCCCACCAGCTTAGTCCTGGCTTATTCATAGGCAGAGGCAAAGTTCCAAGAAAGATACAGAGAGAGAGGAAGCCTGGGAAGTTTCTTGAGACCAGACCACAGAACCGGTACAACCTCACTGGTGATGCATTTTCTCAAAGTCAGGGGGGTGGATGCCTCTGCGTCATGGTGGGGGAAGCTGAGAAGTCACATTGTAAAGGGCCTGGCTGTGGTGAAGGAAAAACTGTGGTCATTTGTGCCAACTACCACAAGGGTGGATGGGTGTTCCTTCAATCACACCTCAAACGTTTCTATAGGATTAAAAGTCTTCTAAATAAAAAGCTCCAAAGTCACTGTGGATGGTGACTGCAGTCATGAAATTAAANCTGCAGCCCTCCAGGCTCCTCTGTCCATGGGATTCTCCAGGCAAGAACACTGGAGTGGGTTGCCATGCCCTCCTCCAGGGGCCTGTAACTTGCAAAGTTAAGTTTATATTATTGTCTATGTCCATTCAAATGTACAGTGATGAAAGTCAGAATATTGTTAACATCTGGGTAATGGGTTACTGGGGTGCTGGTAATATACTGCTTCTTGATCTGAATAATAAAAATTTCACGGAGCTGTATACACCTAGGATATGCACTCTTTTTGGTAGGTATGTCACACTTTAATATTTTAAACTATACTTAGAAAAGTAGAAAGAGCAATGGCCTTGAAGTGAAAACCTGATGCTGCCACCAACTCCCTCTGCAATATTGAAAATGTCAATTTAATTCCCTGGGCCTCAGTTTCCTCATCTGTAAAAGGAAGCTTGATGAATTCTGGTTGGCCCCCATCAACCTCTAAACTCAGAGATGCAACTCTGACCAGTTTGCTTTCTTTCTGTCTAGAAATTATTTGTCAGAAGTCTTTTTTTAAACCTATGATATATAATATATAACATGGTAATTATACAAATTATAATTATATATTTTCTCCTCCAGCTATAACATGTCTGAGATTTTATTTTGTTTTGCACAGAAATAATTATAGCAAAGGCAAAGCAATAAAGGAGTCTCTTTTTTTAGTACAGATGAGCGCTACAGAAGCCAGCTATTTGCAGACGTCAGTGGATAGGCAGGACATCACATTTTAATGCCACACTGGAAATGCAGTCAAGCACCCTGCCACGTAAAGAAGGACCATCGTGCACCCTTTCAAAGAGCCAACCCTATTTCATCACCACTCCTGCCCACGCCTGAGAAGAACAGCCCTCCCCCGGGAATGCAGCTTCTCCCCGTCCTGGGTCACACGCTCAGGGACCCTTGGACCCTGTGTGCAGTCAGGGGCTCTAAGATGAAGTGAAGACAGACACAGCATCCCCTTGGTTCTCACACGCTTGCGTGTGTGTGTGTTAGGGCCTCCGGAGTTGGAAGAACGCTGCAAGTCCAGGTGTCCCCCCAGCCGAGCTGTTGCTTTAGCGGGTAGAGCCCCCAGGAGCACCTCCGAGCCTCTGAGGGTGGTGATTTTCTCACTTGTGAGCACTGTGACCCCTGCACAGTTCAAAGGACTCTAGTGAAACGACATTTTGGAGTTTTTGTTTGTGTTTCCTTCAGGGCTTAGAGTCTACCTCTCGGGATCCTTACAGCTACTATTTTCTGCAGTTTTCTGAGAGCTGCACCCATGGAAAAAATATTTATGGAACAGCCACCATGTGACTTCAGAAGTGAATGAGACAGACCAGTTCCCTGCCCTCACGGACACGATCTGGAGCCCTTTATCTATTGGACAGAGAGACCTGGAACCACTCCTTTTGTCTCCTGTGGGAGTGAGAGTGGAACCTGAAAACAATTTACAGATGAGGCAACAGAGCCATTTGTTGCTTAGTCTGTAAGGTGGGTCCAACTCTTTTGTGACCCCATGGACTATAGCCCGCCAGGCTCCTCTGTCCATGGGGTCTCCCAGGCAAGGATACTGGAGTGGGTTGCTTTTTCCTTCTCCAGGGGATCTTCCCAACCCAGGAATCGAACCCAGGTCTCATACATGGCAGGTGGATTCTTTACCACTGCGCTGCCAGGGAAGCCCATCAACTGAGCTGAGAGAGCTAAAGTAACTTGTCTGAGAGGCCACATGGCTGGTCAATAGAATCCATTCAACCCCATTTTGCTGCAGTTCCTCCATGGATGGCCCTGAGATAAGGTGGAAAAGTATATCCATCTCTTAGAAAAGGGACTGGCAGAAGCTAAGTCACATGGTCTAGCTGTCTGTGCATTTTGTTGTTCAGGTTCTCAGTGGCGTCTGGCTCTTTGCAACCCCATGGACTCCAGGACTGCATCACGCCAGGCTTCCCTCTCTGTCACCATCTCCCGGAGCTTGCTCAAACTCATGTCTGTTGAGTTGGTGACACTCCAACCACCTTGTCCTCTGTCGTCCCCCTCTCCTCCTACCTTCAATCTTTCCCAGCATCAGGGACTGTTCCAATGGGTCAGCTGTTCGCATCAGGTGGCCAAAGTATTGGAGCTTCGTGTATACATGGAGTCTGTGTATACAAGGTCTTATTAAAACACTGCCACTCAGGACTCCCCTGGTGGCCCAGTGGTTAACAGTCTGTGTTTCCACTGCAGAGGGCGTGGGTTTGATCCCTGGCTGGGGAACTAGGATCTAGCATGCCACACAGTACTGTGGAAAAAATAAAAAGAAACAGCCACAAGCGTTGCTCATGCATTTTCTTTGACCGCTTCCCTGCTGCAGCAGCAGAGCTGACTAGTCGCAACAGAGGCCTGATGGCCCACAAAGACAAAGACACCTGCTGTCTCCCCAAAGACCCGCCACCCCTCCCTCACAGCACATGCATTAGGGCAGCGAAAGGCCTGAAGCACACCCTCCAAACTTAGCGGCTTCACATATCTTTTAAAGAATTTTTTTCCTTAAAAAGCGAAAAATAGAGTTGCCATATGAGCCGATAGTCCCATTCCCAGTCCCAGTAGGCATATAATGGGAAAAAACTCTAATGCCAGAGGAGACACACACTCCTGTGTCTACAGCAGCACGATTCACAGTAGTTAAGACATAGAAGCAAGCTAAATATCCATCAACAAGCGAATGTATAAAGAAGATACACACACACACACACACACACACACACACACACAAAGGATTATTACTCAGTCATAAAAAAAAAAAAGAATTTGAGTCAGTTGTAGCAAGGTGGATGAACCTAGTGTCTGTTACACAGAGTAAGTCAGAAAGAGAAAAACAAATATTGTATATTAACACATATAAATGGAATCTAGAAAAATGGGACTGATGTGCCTGCTTTCAGGGAAGGAATGGAGATGCAGATGTAGAGGACGGACCTGTGGACACAGCGGGGGAAGGAGAAGGTGGGATGGACTGGAAAAGCAGCATTGGCACATAAACACTACCGTGTGTAAAATATACAGCTAGGAGGAAGTCACTGTACGCACAGGGATGCGGTCTGCTGCTCTGTGATGACCTAGAGGGATGCGATGAGGAAAGGAGGAAGGCTTAAGAGGGAGAGGATAAATATATAATTATGACTGACTCACTTGTTCTATGGCAGAAACCAATACAACATTGTGAAGAAATTTTCCTCCAATTAAAAAATAAATTTAAAAACATCTTCAGAAACAGTTGTGGTAATATATACAATGGAATAATACTCAGCCATAAAAAATAATGAAATAATGCCATTTGTAGTAACATGGATGGACCTAGAAATGATCATACTAAGTAAGATAAATCAGAAAGAGAAAGACAAATACCATGTGATATACTTATATGTAAAATCTAAAATATGATACAAATGAACTTATTGTAAAACAGAAAGACTCACAGACATAGAAAACACACTTATAGTTACCAAAGGGGTAACAGGGGTGGGGGCAGGATAAATAATTGAGTTTGGAATTAGCATATACAAACAAAATATACAAAATAACTGAGAAAAGAAGAGAAGCCAGAGACAAAGGAGAAAAGGAAAGATATACCTATCTGAATGCAGAGTTCCAAAGAATAGCAAGAAGAGATAAGAAAGCATTTTTAAGGGAACAGTGCAAACAATAGAACAAAACAACAGAGCGGGAAAGATAGAGATCTCTTTGAGAAAATTAGAGATATTATGGGAACATATCATGCAAAGATGGGCCCAATAAAGGACAGAAATGGTATAGACCTGACAGAAGCAGAAGATATTGAGAAGAGGTGGCAAGAATACACAGAAGAACTGT